AGTTATGACTGTCGTCGCCCTTTTTTCCATTTCAATTGAACCTTTTTCAAAATAATGTACTTTTAAAACCATTGAGGGGCTGAAATTAGTACCTAAAACGTTTATTTCTTGTAGCTACGGATATAATTTATCGCCTAAAATAGTTGAAAATTTTTGAGGAGTGAGATAAATAAAGTGATTAAAAACATTTTATTTATCGTCTTTTTATCGTAGAAATTTGCTGTCAATCAAATCAAAATATTTTGAGACTAATTTAATTATATTACACTGTCTTTATTTGTGATCATTATTTTTTATATTAAAATCCTTATTTGTTCGTATTTTAAAGATTCAGTTTCTAAAGTAGTAAGGAATTGAATAAATAAAACCGTAAAGTCAAACGCTGTTGTTGATTGATCGGATAAACGTCGAAACGAAACTCGATAATCGGAAATCATTCAACTTCTACAAACGGTCCAGAACGGGTTTACACAAATGCAAATACAGGATGAGGGAAATGGGCTAATTGGGCTCGACAGGTTGAACAAACCCGCAAAAGCCAATCCTTGACACACGCGAGGCCCGCTTCCTGTTCACAGCCAAAATATAATCATTGGGCCGAATCGAAATTTGCGGACGTGGAAATAGATATAATAGACGGTTTTCGTTTCCCCGAAAAGGGCCGTGGATCTATTGTCTGCGTATCCCGTTCGTGAAAAACACCGCTGGGACTTTTCAAGGTGGAATTGTTTTTAACAGGGGACTCGCGACCCGGGCAAATGGCCGGAGAAAACAAGGTCCTCTTTTCAAATAACTAATGCATACAATCTCATTTCCTTCATCTGGGAAAGTACTGTTACAAATAAACCCTATTATTCGACGCCAACCAAACTAGCCCATTTTGAATCTAAGATTATATTTAATCCGACGTTTTTTTAATAAGATGTACGAATTTATCCACTTTTATCATTCACTAATCAAAAAAATCTTTTTTAAATTGTAAACGAATTATTTATGTAATCTTTGTAAGGTATTGGTTGAAATGAACAAGTTAGTGTCACCATCACATCCTATCGCGGCCATTGTCTCTTCAACTCTCTTCTGCGAGGAGTGTTCGAGCATAAAAATTGAAGTTCAATCGTTATTTTAAGTTAAAATTTAAAAACTGAAGAAAATAATGTAAGGTAACAATTATGAAATACAAAGACAAAGAGTTTATTTTGCCTGCTGATGTAGACAGTTACAAACCGGTAAGAATCTTCTTCGGCTAACGCTCTTAATAGTCAAAGACGCGCCCCCGAAACTTTTTCCTTTTTTTGGTTCCCTATCCGTTTGCAAGTTGCAAGTATGGGGTGTTATTTGTATAAAAAGCTTTTCCAAGAGTAGCCGCTTTTCAAAGTTCATTTCCCTCCCGAAGATCTCAGAGGGATAAAACTTGAAAAAATGCTACTTTATAGTACATCTGACGCCAAGCCTGAAATTTTCTTTCCATTATTACAATTTACTCTGTTTCATTGGCCAATATATTGCACGTTACAGCCCACGCACTAAACCCTTTATATTACTAAATCGATTATATTTCGTGGTCCGATTGACCATATAACTTCTTTTAATCAATTAATCTTTATGTAAGTTATTGGTTGAAATGAAAAAGCTAGTGGTGTCACGAGCGGGATTCGAACCCACGACCTTCGGCTAAATACGCCGCTGCTCTACCACTTGAGCTATCGAGACTTCGATCCACTGGGACACCAACTTCCCACTTCAACCTACGTTTCGAATTTTCCCTCCTTTTAATTATAATTTAAAAATTTCTAAATTTAATTGTAAACAATGTTTTTTAAAGCAATGAATCAGCTTATGGATTTGGTCTAACTAATTATAATTACTTCTTAATTCGGTTGAGGTTTAGTTATAGAATATCTAAACATTTTATTTTTCAAGGACTAGTAACTATTCGTTACGTTTTGATCAATTTTAATTTTTTCCGTTGAAAATATTTGCACATTGTCCACTGATTTTGCACTACGTTACCGTCCATTATTAAATTGATGTGACGCTATCTGAAATAGTGTTCTACGTTATTTGTCTTAAAATAGCGTCATCATTAACGGGCGAAAGTAATATAAAAAACGTGTTTATTTTACAGCTAATATTTTACAATTCCGACTCCTAAAAATGTTTGTATATTTAGTGTACTAACTTTCAAAAACTTAAATTGCCTAATTAAACTGTACAACATGGACAGCATTATATTCAGGGTTAGTTACCCTTACTGAGATTGTTCAGTCCTGTGTTTTCTGGCAAAAAACGAATCCTCCCACTTTGGTACCGGCATTCCTCCTGTCAATTCCCTGTATATACAGTCTTCATTAAAGCTCTATTGATCCTCAGTATTTTTTGGATTAAAGCGCGGCAGTCATTGAAATAGACACTTTCATGCTTGAAAACGACTCCCGGTCTACTCAATATGTAGCACAAATGAAATTTCTCGCAGATGTGGCTGAATTTTTTCCGATAATCTGCTAATTTTTAGGAAGGGAAAACTGGAAGTGCTTTTTATGATACCAAATATAAATACAGCGAACAATATTCCCTTCCAACACTACTTCTACTTTCACAGCAGATTAACAGCAATATATAGAGCTTTTAATTAGGTCTATTCAAAGAGTAAAACAAAATTCTGCATTTTAATAGATTGTAAAAATATTGTTGAACTTATTAGAAACTTTTCTATTAGTTCTAAGTGTAATAATTATATCATATTCGTTATTCATAAGAAGATATACGACCTTAAAATTATTAGTAAGATTATTGTGCTATGTTGGGCCAAAGGCAATGATGGTTTTTGACAAAATAAAATTGTGGATAAAATCGCTAAAGATGCAATTCCTAAAGAAGATTGAAAAAATAATTTTTTGTAAAAAATGTGTAATCATCTTTGGGAAAAAGAATATGATTCCTCAATCGCACGGAGATACTATCGGTCATTATTTCCAATTAATTAGGGTTTTTAGTTGAGATAAAAAAGTCAATGGCACGAGCGGGATTCGAACCCACGATCTTCGGCTTGATACGCCGCTGCTCTACCACTTGAGCTATCGATCGAGGTCACGATAGCTCAAGTGGTAGAGGAGCGGCGTATCAAGCCGAAGATCGTGGGTTCGAATCCCGCTCGTGCCATTGACTTTTTTATCTCAACTAAAAACCCTAATTAATTGTAATGTATTAATTGGTCAAGCGGACCACGAAATTAGTGAATTTAATTATTTCCAACATTGCATAAAAAACCGTGGTTTGCAGATTGAGGAAGACGTAAGGACTTCTATTCTGTTTTTTTCAGATTGAAGTCTAATCACAGTCTTTGGGGATCTTCATAAAATAAGTTGGAGAGCAACGCCAAATTTTCCAACTCGTGACTCCATATCGACACCTCGACATATAATACTAGAATGCATTGCATTTGAACAGCAAAGGGAACAGCTTATGAATAACTTACACAGAACAGACAATATCATCAAGCACTTTAGTTTAGAAACACATTTAGCTTCCAATGAACTAATTGTTTTTGATTTGATCTATAATTTTTTTTTAAATCCATTAAAATCTCCTTCTAAGATATGTATAAAATGCTTATGGATAATTTATAGAGACAGAGTTTTTTGGAATGACTGATATAGGGGTGGCCCGGCGGCAGGCTGGGTACCTCGGAGTCCGCAACGGCGGGAAATCTCGACTTGAACCCCCGTCTGGAGAGATTTAAATTAAGTCAGCACAAGCACATCCCTCAGATAAAACATAGCCCAAGTAAGTTAAGTACCTAAAAACCTCTGCTTCCCGTTTGGTGTGGAGTGTCTCGTGGGTGGCCGGGTGTCCGCCGTCGGATCTCCCTTCCAATTGTCTCACGACCTTCCTACTTTCATTCATTTCGCAGGATATCGTAATGATACGGCATAAAAAAAATATCTGTATTATTTACAAATGAATAGGAATGACAGTTAGCTAGAAATACAGAAACTTTATACTACCTACCATTCAATAAAGCCACGCAGTAATGTAAAACAGACCCTTTGGCTGAACCAAAAATTAATTTTCTAAGAAACAGGTATAGAATTTGGTTATAATTAGTATATACATATATGTACAAAATATGTAACATATATATTTTACACTAACTGTACTGTAATATTTTAGTTTTTCCTAAAATTGCTAAGCTAAGCTAAAACCTTATTCTTAAAACGTTTTGACACTTTTCGTCCTAAATTTAATTTAAACAGAATTGCTAGGTAATTAATGTGTGTTGTTTAGTGTACGGTTGTTCAACGATTTGTTGAAATTGTGAGAAGCGGTCATGAGCGAAGAATCGTTAAAAAAAACTTTTTCATTTTTTCCAAGTTTCAACCTTTAGTCGGATCATTTTCATGGACTGGGTGAAAAGTCGTGGGGCGTTTTTCAGGGGACATTGTCTGCCGGCCCTTCCAGTCTTGTTTCAGTTAGGAGGAGAGAAGCGTGAAAATCTTCATGGGTTATGTGTTCATGGTTTTTCTTTTCTTTTAATAGTCTTTTGGCAACCTTTGTTCGAGAGGTTAACAAGCTAAGAAGGCAAGAGTAATATGAGAGCCGGTGAAAAACATGCGCAAAAAACGAAGAATTTTCGTTCAAAGCTCAGGGGGTCGGTGATCAAAACTTGATGTAAAATAATAAGTTTTACTAATACATATAAACTTAACTAAAATTTTATTTACGTAAGAGTGTATCTATGTTTAAAGTCATTAAATAACGATGTCAATTGGTTCAATTGAGCCTCGTGGGTTGGTCACACCTTGTCTTGTGCGGAGGTAATAGTTCACAGTCAAATAGAATAACCAGAGGCTTCTCCGTGGCCCTAATTATTAATTCTTTGTATAACAAATGAAATTTAAGCAGGTAAATGCCGAGAAAAACTTCTATAGAGTCCAATAAATTTATGGATTGTTAATTTTTATAAACATTGAATATCTAATGAAAAGAGTAGTCCTTACCTTTGAATTTCTTCCTTGGATCCAAACAACAATTATTCCTGCAAAAAAAATCGTTTTAAGTTATGAAAACAAATATTTTATACATTTTATACGATTCGCAATATTGCACAACACATCCGTTCCGACTGTTAATGATTTAAAACTACGTTTTATTCAAGAAGAAGAAGATGGCCAAGATTGACTGTTAACATCAAAAGGCAAAGTGATCATTAAAATTTACAAATTATGCGTGCCGGAACAAGCCGGTGCCTTTTAAACTTCGCGTCCCCCTTTCAAAATAATTCAATGGGCTTGGCTACTTTGTCTTCAGCGAGAATATGCTCAAAAAAGAATTGGCCCATTTTACACTCAAAATTGTTTTCATTGTTTCAGTTTAAAATACAATTTTCGCGAAACATGCAGTCCCTTTGATAATGATGTCCTTGGAGTTTGACGATATATAATAAAAGGTTTGTCCAGAATTAATACATTTCAGTTAATAATATTTTATAAATAACTAAAAACTGCCCCATGTCATATAGTTAATTACACCTAGTCCTCTCAGATGAAAATCTAATTAAGTTCATGCCACTACTCAAAAACATTAACATATGTGTAAAAATCTTCTTGCTTATTTCATTTCCGACATAAAGCACAAACTGTTAAGTAATTATCTCCCCTTAATGCCTTTTTATTTAATTACCTTGGTTTTATAACAGCTACTTGATTAAAAACAGGCAATAAGTGTTCAGTGTATTCATCATTTCATTGTTAACATAAAAATAAATTATTAGGGCGTCGGTGGCCGCAACGGTTTAGGCGTTGACACGGCGCTCATCACTGTAAGGTAAAGGTCCCGGGTTCGAATCCAGCGGCCCTGCATTCGAACCTGACATACTTACAAATTGTCTTTTTTTTTTTCCAAAAAGACTGGTACCTCGAGGGTTCAAATAACCTCGTAGTTATTCAGATATCGTGAGATGCGGTCGGGTGTGATGTAGGTTTCAGAAAAACATTTTCTTTATCGTGCCAACGTTTCGATCTTTTATTGAGATCATNCTGTGTAGATGTGTCATTATTGGGAGTCAGTTGAAAGTGCCAGTGAGATACTGATGTTTTAATAATTTAATAATAATAATTTAATAATTAAATTATTATTTGTAATTATAATTAATTATTTAAATTAATAATTTACAGAATTTAATAATAATAATAATAATAAATTATTTGTTAATCTTCTGGTAATAAAGCTGTTTGTTTAAAATATTTCATTCAATATTGATTGAAATAATAATAAATTGAACATTTTCAGTTTACTAAGTTGAAATAACATAAAACCAAATATAGGCTTTTGTCGCAACTTGATGTTTTTTTTATTTTTGTGAAAGGGAATGCCACTCTTTCCATAGAAGAAAAACACCCGCGATGATACTGTCAGGGAGAGGATGTGCCAGGGGCGTTTTGCCAAATTTAGAGGTGTTTTTTTGCTCTGGTAGGAACATTTTGGACGATAGGTACTGACAACTAACAACTTGAAGTTTTAATTCGTCAAAAAATACAAGAAGAACTTGCTAATTAGGCTTTCTGTATAAATAGTTTCAGTCTATAACACGATTAAGATAGATTAACACGAGAAAATATATTTTCGCAGGTACGTTAAAAAATTGTAGTCCTTATTTGAAAAACGAACAAATTAACAAACGTGGACTTGATATAAAGACGATTCGGTTGGTTTCAAGAAATAATAATTAACAAGTACAATATACCAAATAAGTGAATTTTTTAAGTAAAAGCTGCCAGTATTAGAAATGAAATAGTTCTTCTCCATGACAAAGCAACGGCTCGTATTTCGTTGGCTTCGTACTACCTCGCCTACATCATCTCCGTACTTAAATACCAGTTCAGGTTAATACGTAATTATTCAATAAGAAAATATAAAAAATGAAATAAAATAATAAAATATAAAATAAATTAAAAAATAATTTATGTTACTAAAAAGTTTCAAACCAACATGATAATCTTTTTTAAACCAATATTGTATTCAATGTTTGTATAAAAAAGTAGTAATTATGGGCTAATTTTCATAATGCTATGCCCGAATTATGCCAATTAAACAAATTTACATTTAAATCTGAAAGTTCAATTTTGAGATTTGTTGCACTCATTAAAAAAATATATATATAAACGTGTTTGAAATGTTTAATATTCTGACATATTAAACCTCATACTGAGAACTGATCTGCAAGTATTTATATTTTTACTACTTTAAATAAATTTATTTCAAAAGTTGTGGGTTTCTGATATTATATGCCAAGAAAAGGTCATATATAAACAAAACATTTTTTTTCGTATATTGATGTGATTTGATATCAGGCTTAATATATAACTGCATATAAATGTCAGCAAAAAAGATATTTAAAAAATAATATAAAATCATTCAGTTTCTTTGTAAAGCGTTAGAGAAATCTATCGTCTTTAATTCCTGCCATAGAGGAGGACTTAACGTAAAACTACTCGTTAGTTGTCGCGGAAGAAGGGCAAGCCACTTTGCAATACATTTATATATGATTATCAATTAAAATTCTAAGGGCCGGGCCGAGATTTGAACCCAGAAACGCCTAACGTGACAAATACTAGCAATACCCTTTGGTATCCATTTCACCATTTTAAAATATTTAGAAGGAATTTCACGGTTAACAAAAATAAATATTTACTTACGATTTTAATAATTATGGTTTCAATTAACACAGTATAAAATGGAGAAGATGTAACCCGCGTGATCCCCTTATGCTAACCTAACTTCCTGGCTGAAGGAGCTGATTGTTTTTATTTCTTTCGATATCGGTTTGTCCCTGATTTTTTATTTAGAATTTTCTATACATAGATATAAATTTCTCTTTTAAAAACATTTCCTAATTAACGTTTTCTAGAAATCTGTTTTAATGAACTCCTACGACTAGAATTTGAATGAACTGTAACAAGTAAATGCAATGGTAGTGACTAATGACTTGCACAGTCGCCCGGAGAAATCACACAATAGTTGCACTCTGATGTAAGTATAGGCACTCATTTATCACAGGTTATCACTTAAGTTGAGATCACGAGACAACCATAATTTTAGTTGACGTTAAGGACTATCAAGAAGCTGTGGGACTTAGGGATTGGGATTTTGGACGACCGGTGAGTGCGATGTGGACTTTGTCATATACGGATTTTACACCATGGGAATCAGAAGAGATGTCGTCTGAAAGATAAGATTGCGACGAAGTTTTTTGGACTGGGAGGATTAGATTCTATAGGAGTTCGCTGCTTTGGCTGAGCTCCATATTTTATTATATATATTTCTTACAGTATGTTTAAGTCTATTTGAGCAAGGTGTTGTGGATCATTTGTTATTGAGGAGTGTTTTTAACATTCCATAGTGAATAGAATGAATGAGTTGGTAGATTCATGTTATACAAATGATGATTCTACCCACAGATTTGTTGTTTACGATGTGGATTTCGTGCATTAAACACTCGTCATCAGGTTGAGGGAGATACAAACACGTGTGAAACGTTTAATAATTTCTTCACGTTTCAGATATGTATTTGGATTTCACGTGAGACGCTTGATACTCTTCAAGAGTGAACCCGTTTATTCTCCTCTTCTTTAGCAAGGATCAAGGTCGGTAAGGTGCTCTAGGGACGAAGGTAAAGGGTTGCAGTATTGTCTGTAATTATGAAAAGGAATGTATTGGGACTATTAGGGAGATTAGCAGTATGTAGAAAATACTATATAGAAAAGAATAGAAACAACAAGATAATTTGAAGGGATTCCTGCCCAGACTGGGTGGATGGGTTAGTATGAAGAACCGTACGTTACTCAGAAGTTACGGCCGGCAAGGTAGGACTTCAGGTCTCAACTTAACGTACATTAAGTCACCTCACAAGTACGTAGCTTCTTCTATACCTTTCAGATTACGCAGAATTCCAGAGACAATCGAATGTTTGCGTAATGTCGAAATAGAGCGCCGGACAGTACTGCTTATTCTCAAAGGAGGAGGCGATAACTTTAACAACGCTTTGGCATTGCTGAACTGTAAAATGTAGATGTCGGAAACGTAACATGGATAAATTCATGGGAATATAGTCAGGATAATGATGTTGTAGGAGTTTTGCAAGTATGTATCCCATCAAGGGGAGGAGGGTTATAGGGCTCATGATATTTGAAACAAACTTCCTTAGGGTAGGAAAGTAAAAGGTTATTAGGACAGATAGGTAAGTTGGAGAAGGGCACGTTTAAAAAATTTGGCTGAAAATGTTGCTGAAATTGCGTAACGAAATAATTAATTTTTAAAATTTAATTTTTAAAATAAAAGGTTATAGTTTACTGTTTTAAGTGTTCATAACAGTATATTTTATTGAAAAATCTGGCAATATTGAAAAATCTTATTGCAATGCTTGTCATATTGAAAACCATGATATTTTTAAATGTATTCACCACTGCCCACACATTTTTAGAAGTTTAAATATAAACATATTTAATTAATTTGAAGCAAAAGTTGTTTACCAGGCTTTCATTTTAATTTAAAAAATACATCAAATTACCTGGGCGTTTGTATTTACGACAATGAGTGAATATAAAACAGTGATGTATTATTATTTGTATTTATACAGAAATAACTGTGTAAACGTTACTGTAAATTTGATTTGGTTCAATTTTTCACAATTGAAATAATCTTTAGAAAGTTAAATTAGACGTTATAAATTTAGTATTGATTAACTGTTTGACCACATCCTAAATTATGAGTTTATTATAATTTAAAAAACGTTATTAGTAGATAATATGAAAACTCAACTTATTCGGATGGTATTAATTCTTAATGTGTCAATTAAATTCATTTAATCACTCTATTACCGGATCCTTCGTAATTGATTTTAACCTATTTGTTAAAAGAAATAGGACAGGAAGAATATAATTTAAGAAATAATTTAATTGACACAATTTTAAAACAATTTGTACATCGGAATTTTTCTACTTTAGGTGATTTTATTTTTAAAATAATTATTTAGCTTGT